CTCCTAGAGAAATGCTTCAATATTTTGGTGGCAACAGGGTGATTAGTGTCATGAGAGACCTGTTTTTTGTCAGACCTCTTGAAAAAAGGTTGACAAAAACTTAAATAATTATGCCCTTAGAATTATTACACCATAACCACTACTATAAACACTAATGGTCACAGTGCTTACAATATCCCTTTAACTCAAGTATCTGCCTTGTTGGAAGGAAAGTAGGTATTTGTGTTGGAATAAACTACTCACCTTCAAATCTAGTTAAACTCCACTTTATTTATTTGTTTTCTTTGAATAGAAAACCCCAAGTTAATAATTATCTAATGCATTATTGGTGGTAGTACAACTTTATGCTATTTTTTATCATTGTTATTAATTTTTCTTATTAAGATGGCTTTACTAGATATATCGTTTGTTTGATGAAAACAGCTTTCATGAATTGTTGCTTTAATGTATAGACCATTACCATTATGATACTTACTAAACAGTATACAATATTTCTTAGGACATTCCTGCTAGACTTCAGCACATACCTCTAGTCAGGGCCGGATTTAACAGGAATCCTCTAAACGATGGACAACCTTAGACATTCCAGTTCTGTGGAACCGAAATTGATGCATTGAGACTGGCCAAGAATCACGTAAGGCATGGCATGCTCCATAGAACCTATTATGCCAAACGTTGCCTATCTCAGGATTCCCTGTAGGCCTAATATGAAGCTTTAATATTATCAGCTATCCTTGAGTATAATGCAAAATTACAAAAATAACTACTCCAAATTCATACTGCCTCCACGTCACTGGAGAGATAGTTTGTTTACATTTTAACTCCAGCCTGGAGATCGAAGGTGACAGCTAACCTTACCTAGCTGAAAATCCGGCCCTGATTCTAGTCAGAATGCTGCTTCTTTCAAAATGTCCACTATTTTAATCGATGGTGGCATCTCTTACATATTGCTGCTTCACACACAAACATAAAAACTAAATGAAAGGAAATTCACAATTTATAAAGATGTTCATTTTGGTTTAGCAGCAGAGCCAATTCATTTTCCTATCCTTCATACAGGGATGGAAAATTGAACACAAAGGTAGACTAAACTATTGTGATGTTACAACCTGAAGTGAAGGTATACAACAAATATATAGCAACAACAAAATGGAGATTACTTTTCCTTTAGCATTTAAGAAAACAATATATTTTATATTGTTAATTTTCACAAATTTTAGACAAAAAAGTGCTGCTGCTATTCTGTAGATTAGTGTTTCTTACAATGATATAACAGGTCAGTATGTTAAACAATATAAGTTCTTCCTATGCTTACGTTAATATGCAACTGGTATGGCATAGACCTTCTTCAACCTTAAAGAACTGCTTGGAAACAACTTTTGTTTTTTTTGTTTTTTATAATGTCATATAAGCCAATAGTGCTTCAGTCATATATTTTGTCTTGAAGAGATTGTATGGAACCTATTTAGGTTATTTATTTTGTTGAAGAACAGTTAAACACCATAAACTGTGTGTGGTAATGTCCATACCGTATATTAATGTAAACTAACATGGGTGGAGACATTTTGTTAAGCATATGTTTTCTTTGAACATGTCAATTTATTAGAGACTTGTTTAATCTCAAGTGAGATCAAGCAGAGGTGCTATGACCTATTGCAGTTTCTTACAGATCTGATTTCAGAATCACTGCCACAGATTTGTGTGACCCAGAGCAACAAGGGCCACTGACACCCCAGGCCATCAAGGCACTGGATAGTTATGCAGACATGGTTAAATGCTGCAACCTTAAGAGGTTTGTGACCCTTGAGTTGCCAGCCTTGCTATGCTCTATATATCCTGGCATTATACATATTCATAGTCTGCTATTTAACATTACATGCTAGATAATAATGATTTTTATTAGAATAATGTTATGGGTTTTTTTAAATGTTTTTTTCAAAAAACGATTGTGTTTTTATTATACCATTCCTTTCAGCCAGACTGTTGCTTTGCTAAAACAAACCAAAATAAGAGAATATATTTCATAAGCAACAATACTTTTCTTAGCCTGTCACAGTGACATGTTGTTGTCCTTTCAATATAAGGTGTTAAGATAGTAAAGATAATATAAAACAATTAAAACAGTCAAGTATAATGTAAGAAGCTGTATTAATTAAAGGGGTTCTGTCAACATCATACATTTTTAGCTCCCTAGATGACATTTTTTGTATGATAATTTATGATGGTTCATTCATTTCCCTCCTTCAGTGGAAGCTGAGCAGGTGATCAAATAAACTTATACTATTACACTCTGACAACAGAAAAACGGGCTAAATTTAAAGACAGTTTAATGAGACAAAGTTATCAAAGATGGCAAATCAACCTTAATGTAGAGATAACCAACTACAATATAAAACATGAGGAACTTTTATAGGGTTTTGGTTTACTCTAAACATAAAAGTAATTGGGACCATGTGTCATTGAGGTTCTTTTTTGTGATTAAAATTAGAACTTAGACGCTAGGTATGTATGCTGCTACAAGGAAATTGGATTTAAATTTCTACCTAGGGATAGTCAAGTTAGCAGTGGAGCAATTATTAACCATACCTGCTAATGCTTGTCTATGTGTAAACAAGGGCCCCATCAAATATACTCGGGTCCCAAAAAATATTTGTAGAAGTGATGTTCATGCTCTATCCCATATACAATATCTTTGGGCTACCAGAATGAAGTACCACCAGGAATGATATGGTGATGTCTCACAAACACAGGATGAGTCAGATATATATAGCCCTAAAACGTATATATTCCCCTTATCTATCAGTATTCTTACTCTTAAATTGAGCTAATTTTTAAGAATACTGTTAAGAACTAATTATGTATTCACTTGGGAATTATTACATATTGGGCCAAAGTTACCCTTTTGAAGAATACTAACTCTCAACTGGTCTGTGTTAAAGTGGGTGGTACCATTTATCATTCAACAAAACACTTATGGTCAGGGAAAAATTTAGTGACTCTTGGGATTGTTTAGCTTGCTCAACAAGAACTTATATCAACACATTCATATTCCACATTTCGGAACTTTACACTTTGACAGATGGAAAAGGGATATTTAACCCCCCTCTAAATACTTTTCCTTTTAAAGTTCACGCAGAATAGATTAATCTTAAACTTACACTGTGGTTGGTTTTTGTAAAATCGTGTATTTATGTAGAAAATGCAGAAAAATCATGCCATGTAAATTTATTTGCCTCCCTTAAAAAAATATTTTTATAGAATGCTTTGCTACATTTTAAGTGCTCTCGTAACATATTTATTTTTATTTTATTTTTTGCAATCTTTTTTATCATAGTACTTAGAAATAATTTTAGAATGAGTAAGAAAAAAGTTACGTAAATCATAAATTTTTCAGGTGGCAACAAATGGAAATATTTTAAAAAATGTTTGTGTACTTTGCAAAATATAATACAAGCATTTTTTTTTCACAAAAACCAATCATAATTAATCACATGTAGTCATAAGGAAATTACAAAAAAAAGTAAAAGAAAAGAAAAATGTGTTTTGTGGTTATTTTTTTAGAACATTCTTTAAAAATTGCACCTTTTTGCTTGTGATAGTGGGTTGGTTGTCTGTGCTATCCCTTCCCTTCTCGTCCCACATAAAAATGCTTTTTGCATTTAATTGCAGGGTTTTTTAAGCATGTTTTTAAATAAAATTATTCTTAAATCAATGCATTTGTAGTGTATGCATATGTTGATTTTGTATTTATATATATCAATGAAATTCAGTTTAAGGTAGATAGTGTCATGGTTTTATTTTCTCTTATGTTATATATTTCATGAAGCTTTCCGCACTTTCATTTTTCTAAACCGAAATATAGTGAAATGTTAATTTAATGTATGTTTGCATTTTTAGCCCCAGCAAATGAAAAAAATCTGTTAGTGTCAGGTATAAACTGAGTAAAAAAAATTTAAGTAAGGTATGATGATCACCCAATGGGATTTGAGAGGTGCATGAACAGAAGTTCAGTATTTACATAAAGGAGTATTAATATTCAAAGAAAAAAAAACACTTTCCGCAGTAGTGTTTAATTTCCCCCCTCATTTTGTATATAGAATAGTTTAAACAGAGGTAGCAATTAGAACATATATTGTTGTAGTTTTTTTCTTATTAATGTTTTAAACTTTTGTTATAACCTGTTACTTTAGTGCAGAAAACGCTATTCTGTATGTGCTATCTTCTATAGACACAGACAGTATAAAATCTACATGTAAAGGGAGAGAGAGATGCCATTTGTTTTCATATGATCTTCCACCAGTGGTGTATCTTGGTTTTGTGCTGCCCTAAGCAGGACAAAACTCAGGCTCCCCCCGCCCCCCGCGCACCCGCCCACCCAACCCTTCCCCCCTACCCCGCATTCTAAATACACACACATTTTCACTGACAGAAACACATACTAACACACACACACACATTCACTAACAGACTCACTCACTAACAGACTCACTCACTAACAGACACACACACACACACACACTAACAGACACACACACACTAATACGCACACATACTCACTAACAGACACCCATACACACTAACAGACCCACACACTAGCAGACAAACACACACTAGCAGACAAACACACACTAGCAGACAAACACACACACACACACTAACAGACAAACACACTAACACACACACACTAACAGACACACACACTAACAGACACACAGTCAGACACACACACAAACATACAAACACACTCACACACATTAACACACTCACTTTTTTTTATTTATTTAACCCCCCTAGCCTCCTTACCTTTAGGAATGCTGGGGTGTTCTCCCTCTCCCTGGGGCTGCTGGGCTGGCTCCTGGGTGGGCGGCGCTGGCGAGGGAGCACTTTCCCCTGAACTGTCTGCTCAGTTCCCTTGCGCGCCGCCCGCAGAGTGAGGCTAGGAGCCGGAATATGACGTCATATTCTGGCTCCCAGCCTCACTTTGCAGGTGGCGCGCGAGGGAGCTGAGCAGACAGCTCAGGGGAAAGTGCTCCCTCGCCAGCGCCGCCCGACCGTCCGCCTGCCTGCCTAGACTGTTAGCCGCAAGGCTAACAAGACATTTGCACTCGGCATTTGGGGGCGGCTTTTTTTGCCGCCCCCTGAAAAATTACGCCCATGGCAAATGCCTTGTTTGCCTCGCGGCTAAAACGTCCCTGTCTTCCACCCAATAGTTTTTCTAGCTGCCGAAACATTGAAATTTGTTTTTAATATTGTTATAATTGAATCAAATTATTCCTCTACATAGGTTACAAGGAACTCCAAACTTACATTTAATGCAAATGATTAGTTTGTAATGATTTTGTACTTTTTCTGTTGTGTGCCTCCATGTAGCATCTCTGGAGAACAGATATTGGAAATAATCTAGAATGTTATTGTGATATATATTTTTTTGCACTCTGTTTTCAATATGTTACTACTTCAGTGTTTTAAGAATAAGGTAATACCATTTGCTAATAAGTTGGAAGAAATGTATCACACTTTAGCAGAACTTGATTAACAGTTTTGAAAAACTGGTCAAAGCTACTGACCGTGTTGATGTAGTTGCTCCGAACCCTAGCACAGTAAAAATAACACCCAACAGCAGGTAGTTTACTAAGTAACTCAACACATATGAAAATGGAGAAAACAGTGAATTATACATAACTCTATAAAAGTGTTGGGGCCCTTGAGACTACCCCCTAATCATAAAAATATATATGCAGAAGAACAGTGCCAATTCCACACAAAATACCTCTGTGAGGTAATCAAAATACACATATAAGTACTTCAAAATAGTTGGGTTATACAGAAGTGTCTGAACAAGTGCAAAATAAAATACAGAAACCAACTATAGGACAATGCATAAATATGTGAAATTGAGTCGTGTCACTCATGCTGTGGAGAGCCAATCCAAGCTCAAATATGGGCAGCTTGGATGGAATATTCCAGTAGATTCCACACCAGTCCTCAAGGTCCCTCTACCACCAGGATTTAGAGATTACCCAGTTGTGCAACAAACCAGAACTGTGTAATCCCTAAATCCTGGACTGGTAGATGTGCCTTGAGGACTGGTTTGGGAAACACTGCTATAATCCGTGCACTTGGATATATGCCAATAGATAGCAATGTATTCATCATATAATGGCTTATCCTTTACTTTATGGAAAATCAAGCAGAAAAAGGAATCCAATGGTGGAGTATGTCTATTGTTCTGTATGCATGTGCTGAGCCATTCACCTGTATAACCAATCAATTTGGGAGTACTTATGTATGTATTTTGAATTATTATCTCACAGAAGTATTTTGTGTGGAATTGGTGTAGCTCTTCTATATATATATTTTTTGTCTTTGCGTGTTGGACACAATGTCCTTGTAAGATTTGCTGCTGCCTCGCTGAAATTATACTCGTTGCTTATTTCCATTGTACCCCCTAATAATAATCTGCACTTGACTAGGTGCTATTACAGTGTTTTTCATTATATTCTTATTGATTCAATATCTGAACTGTGCCTACGTCAGCATTGTCAACATAAAAATCATGTAAATAAAAAATGCTAAATAATAAACTGTCCTTTAAATCCCAATTATATGATATTAAAACAATGACTTAATTTCTTATAATTATGGAAATAAAATGAAAATATTTTTTTTTCAATTAAAAATGCAATTAACTCATGCTGGAGACCTTTATTACTTATTTTTTCTTAATAAAATACGTTACAAGAAAATACTGCGTTTGCTGCTTCTACGGTTCTACACTCTCACATTAAAACCATTCCTCTTAGTACATTATATTAATTAATTATATTTGCTTCAATGCTACTGTATGAAGGTGCTATGAAGGTGCAGGATAGTTATCATTAATTTTTTTTCAGTTGAATCTGTTGCTTGAACTTTTGTTTAAATCTAATCATTGTATTTTAAATCGAATATATTAAATCTGCCAAAAAATTTATTTCATATAGTGAAAAAAGGCTGATAGTGAAATGCATTTAAGTAACCAAATACTCTACTATTAAGACTGAATGAACAAAAGTCAGCAAGTTATTTCAGAATTTGATTGACATGTTATGTGTACATTATTTTTGTATATAACTGCTATAAGATGTAACAGGTTTAAACCTTTGTTGGAATTACATTAAATATACATTTTTTATTCATGTAGTTCATATAAAAATAAAGCGTGCGTCTGAATGTCAGCATTTTAAAATAGAACACTGTGTACAATCAATAATGACGAGGAGAGTTTCAGTCTGTGATTGGCTATATGATAGCCCACAGTGCAAATTCAGCTTATGCAATTCTTCTTTCTAGTAATAACAAAGAAATACTTTACACATTTGGTATTATTGGCTCCACTTTTAATACTTGCAATCTTTTTTTACATTTTTTTTTATTTACCACATTTTGCTATTTTTCATGTGACAGCAATCTACATTGTATGTACAAAATACAGGGAAACTCTACTAAATATTATATCAGAATCTTAATTCTCTTACTATTCAATTTGATTGAGTTCATTATTATTTCATTGTAAGATCATATATTGAATGCTGTTTACAATTATTCCTAAAGTATTTGAAAGCGAAACTGTCATTGGAACTTATACCATTGAACAAAACATTGAAACTCCCCAACAAATTATGTTAACCATTTTATCAGATACTCCTTTTTCTTTTAAATATGCATTAAATATTTAGCAAATTACATCATAATCCAGTTTGGATAAAGCAAGCACAGGACATGCATTGCAAATTAAGATGAGAAATAGAAGCATTGTGTCATATCTCCTCTGTATGCTTTCTCTATGATGACTGCTAGGTGCAAAGGACAGTGCTTATGTTAATGGATTGGCAGGGAGCCAATAAGGAGACACCCAGGGGCAGGTTAAAATGTGGATTTCTAAATTTCATTTTATTTGCTTTGTCTCACAAATGCATATTTGTTAAATATATGGATAAATAAACATCATTTTAATAATAACTGGATATGAAAGCCCCCTTAAGAATGCTGAGTGTGACACTAAGATGATTTTAAGATTTAGTTGTTCAATATACATTTTATCACTTACTAGTGAGGTCCCGAATTGTTCGCCGAACTGTTCGCCGAACTGTTCGCGAACGGTTCGCCACGAACTGTTCGCGAACGGTTCGCCACGAAAGGTTTGCCGCGGACTCCAGTCAGCAGACACATTCCAGCCAATCAGCAGTAGACCCTCCCACCTCCTGGACAGCTCACTAAGAATGCAACTTTAAAATGGATGCTGTCCAGGAGGTGGGAGGGTCTGAGAGGAAGGGTCTGCTGCTGATTGGCTGGAATGTGTCTGCTGACTGGAGTCCATGGCGAACCGTTCATGGCGAACTGTTCGGCGAACAGTTCGGGACATCACTATCACTTACATTTTTCCATATTTATGTAAGAATAGCCATCTTAAAAAAAATACACATTTTCCCCCTGTAATAGTTTACGGACAGTATTCATATTTGTTTTTCCGTTTTTTTATTTATGAAATAATCAAGGCTGAATAGTCTGAAATATTGCAAGTTAAATAAAAACTGTTTTAGCACATTTGAATTCTAAGTGCAAATTAAGTTGCCAAAGAACTGTAGTATAAATGGTTATTATGTATTTTTTTTCTTCTTAATGATGAAGTGATGGTTAACAATTACTGTCACTTTCAGAAATTACTTTGTCATTGACTTGGGAGTCTCTCATCCAAAAGGTATCTGAGTTAATTTGCTTAACATTTAAAAGTCAGCAGAGAAAAACAGTATTTTATTTAGCATTGCAGTGTATAGCACAAATTGTTCTCATGTTAAATGATATTCTTTAATAACAATTAGCTGAGGTATATTGAAAGCATTATCTAATGGGATATACTTTTATTTAAAAAGGGTGTTCCTTTCATGCTTGGCCCTCTGATTTGTTAATCAAATATGTTCATTGTCTCATTCGATAGTAAGGCTTTTTCCTGTGCGGTGGTGTAGTTACAAGAATATACTTGCATATAGCTACTTGATTTTGCAGAACAAAATAACTAAAAATCACTCAAGTCTAAGAACACAGGAAACTGATTGAATTTAAATTTTTTATTTTTGGGAGCCGCATATATTTAAATGTTCCATGTATTGGGTTAAAAGCCCTTATGTATAGAAATATGCATTTTTATTGTTTTGTTTGTAGGATTACTGTTGGGAGGCAGAGACATCCCAATAGTTAAAACTCATACACATATCATATTTAACATACTGGCACAGACTCCTATTTTATCAAATATATCTGTATTAATTGATGGCAATGCAATAAAGGTTTAAAAAGTGTTTTTTGTTGTTGTAATTCTGCCATTTGGTGATGTTACATTTTAACCACCTATATGAGACGGTGAGATATTTTTGTATAAAATGCCCTAGTAAATTAAGAACTTTTGATGTGTTAGATTTTAGAATTTAATGTGCCATTCCATCCAGATTGTATTTACTCCTGTGTTCCTTCTATGCAATACTTACTTTAGCCTTTGTACAAATTATTTTGTATTAGTAATAATGATGATAAGATAAATAAAGAAATAAACAATGTGATATAATTGCAATTTTGTTTTCTAAATATTTTCTTAAGTTTTCAGGTGACTTATCTGAAACCTAAACCCTCAACACTATGCTCCAAGCCCTTGTAATCTTTGCGGCTATGACTGCCATCACTGTTATGGGAAGGCTTTCCACAAGGTGTTAGATTGTGTCTGTAGGAATATATGCCCATTCACCCAAAAGAGCATTTGTGAGGTCATACACTGATGTTAGATGAGAATGCCTAGCTCGCAATCAGTGTTCCATTTTAAACTAAAGGTGTTCAGTGAGATTGAGGTCAAGACTTTGTGTAAATCACTTTAGTTTCTCTGTACCAGATTTGTCAAAAAATGCCTTCATGGAATTGCTTCCTTCCCTAAATTGTTGCCACAAAGTTGGAAGCACCCAATTGTCTAAAATCTCTTTGTATTTTGTATCTTGTGTCTTGAACTCCAAAGAACACTTTTCCACTGTTCCGGAGTCCAGTGGTAGTGTGCTATATGCCATTCCATCTGACGCTAAGTATTGCATTTACAGTATCTCACAAAAGTGAGTACACCCCCACATTTTTGTAAATATTTTATTATATCTTTTCATGTGACAACACTGAAGAAATGACTCTCTGCTACAATGTAAAGTAGTAAGCCTGTATAACAGTGTAAATTTGCTGCCCCCTCAAAATAACTCAACACCCCTAAGTGGAAATGTCCAAACTGGGCCCAATTAGCCATTTTCCCTCCCCGGTGTCATGTAATTTGTTAGTGTTACAAGGTCTCAGGTGTCACTGGGGAGCAGGTGTGTTAAATTTGGTGTTATCGCTCTCACACTCCTTCATATTGGTCACTTGAAGTTCAACATGGCACCTCATGGCAAAGAACTCTCTATGAAGAGCAACAATTCTTTTTTCAGATCATCAAAGGTTGCCAAGACTCTGAAACTGAACTGCAGCACGTAACTGACCATACAGCGGTTTCACAGGACAGGTTCTACTCAGAACAGGCCTCGCCATGGTTGACCAAAGAAGCTGAGTGCACGTGCTTAGAGTCATATCCAGAGGTTATCTTTAGGAAATAGATGAATGAGTGCTGTCAGCATTGTTGCAGAGGTTGAAGGGGTGTGGGGTCAGCCCATCAGTTCTCAGACCATATGCCGCACACTGCATCAAATTAGTCTGCATGGCTGTCATCCCAGAAGGAAGCCTCTTCTAAAGATGATGCACAAAAAAGCCTGCAAACAGTTTGCTGAAGACAAGCAAACTAAGGACATGGATTACTATAACCAATTGCTGTGTGTTGCGTTATTTTGTAGGGACAGTACATTTACACTGATATACAGGCCGCACACTTACTACTTTACATTGTAGCAGAGTGTAATTTCTTCAGTGTTGTCACATAAAAAAATATAATAAAATATTTACAAACATGTGAGGGGTGTAGTCACTTTTATGAGATACTTTAACCCCTTAAGGACGGAGCCAAATGTACACGTTGTGAACGAAACAAAATGTAAACAAAACCTGGCATTTGCGCTACATGTCTGTCCAACCGTAATTCACCTCTTTCATATTAAATGCACCCACCCTTATTATATATCATTTTATTCAGGGGAAACAGGGCTTTCATTTAATATCAAATATTTAGCTATGAAACATAATTTAATATGAAAATAATGGGAGAAAATAAGATTTTTATTTTTTATTTTTTTAGTTCTTCATGACATTTTAACTGTCAATGTCATAATACTGTTTGCTTTTACTGCAATAAAATACACATATTTGTATTCAGCAAAGTCTCACGTGTAAAACAGTACTCCCTATGTACAGGTTTTATGGTGTTTTGGGAAGTTACAGGGTCAAATATAGCACGTTACATTTGAAATTGAAATTCGCCAGATTGGTTACATTGCCTTTGGGACTTTATAGTAGCCCAGGAATGAAATTTACACCCATAATGGCATACCATTTGCAATAGTAGACAACCCAAGGTATTGCAAATGGGGTATGTCCAGTCTTTTTTAGTAGCCATTTGGTCACAAACACTGGCCAAAGTTAGCGTTAGTATTTGTTTGTGTGAAAAATGCAAAAAACACCAATTTTGGCCAGTGTTTGTGACTAAGTGGCTACTAAAAAAGACTGGACATACCCATTTGCAATACCTTGGGTTGTCTACTATTGCAAATGGTATGCCATCATTGGGGTAATTTTCATTCTTGGGCTACCATAGGGTCTCAAAGGCAACGTACCCAATCTGGCAAATTTTAATGTGAAAAAAATGAAACACAAGCCTTATATTTGACGCTGTAACTTTTGAAAACACCATAAAACCTGTACATGAGGGGTACTGTTGTACTCGGGAGACTTCGCTGAACACAAATATTTGTGTTTCAAAACAGTAAAAAGTATCGCAGCAATAATATCGTCCGTGTAAGTGCTGTTTGTGCGTGAAAAATGCAAAAACTTCACTTTTACTGGCGATCTCATCGTTGTAATACATTTTACTGTTTTGAAACACTAATATTTGTGTTCAGCGAAGTCCCCCGAGTAGAACAGTACCCCCCATGTACAGGTTTTATGGTGTCTTGGAAAGTTATAGGGTTAAATATAGTGCTAGCAAATTAAATTCCCTTTACTTTCGGCATGGGTTGTCAGGCAGGTCCCGCTAATTGTAATTAATTAAGATACCCAATTATGTAAAAATATTACATAAATATATATGTAGAATTAATATATGTATATATACGTATGTGAATATATATGTATATATATATATATATATATATATATATATAAAAATCACAATAGTTTCTGGCACTCATCCCATAGCAAAAGCATTAATTCAGCAATGACCAGGTGCCTCTCCGTGCAAAATATACAAATGGAACAAATTGAGAGCACTCATTGGATTTAGTAAATCTTGATAAAGACCGCTAGACGGTCGAAACGTTGATTTATATGCGTTTGATTTAATATATTTTTTTGTTTACTAAATCCAATGAGTGCTCTCAATTTGTTCCATTTATATATATATATATATATATATATATAATTTTTTTTAATATTTTTATTTATATATAGGTATCTATAGTGATATATACGCATATATTTATGTATATAGATATATATATTATTTTGTTCTACGTGTATTTTGATATAAATATATATATATATTAATATCACAATACAGTTAGAACGAAATAACACACATCTATATATTTTTTAATTATTTTTTTAAATTATTTATTTTATTTTTATTTTTTAACGTATTTACATATTTTTTTATATTATATATAAATATATATAAACTAATAATTATATATATATATATTTAATCAGTATCAGTCTACGTGTAATTTGATATTAATATATATATATATATAAAATTATATATATATAAATAGTAAAATACACCTAGACAGTGTACGTGTGTGTATGTATATGTGTATATATATATATATATATATATATATAAAAAAACTATCAACATCCCCTGCACTCACGCTTGAAGTATTCCAAATGCCGGGCGCACCACCAAAGCTCCAATAGGTATAACTTCCACAAGAAAAGGCTGCTCTCCGGACTTAAAATCAAAGATTTTATTGAAAATATTTAAAAATGATGACCAACGTTTCGGTCCCCGATCGGGACCTTCCTCAGGGTCAGAGACAACATATATGTGATCTAAGTATATATATATATTTTTTTACACTGATTAACTTTATTTTATTTGATTTCCAGGCAGCCCCCCTGCTGGCAATGCAGGAGGTAGCTATCCCAGCCATGTGATTGTGAGGTCCTCACAAGGACCTTACTCTCACATGACCGGGGGGCACCGGAGGAGGAGGATCTGCCGCAGGGGGCTCCCTGGGACCCGGTAAGTAAGGAAAGACCGGAGGGCGTACTATTATGCCCGGCAGCGTTTAGAGCCGCCTAAAATAGGGCATAATAGTACGCCCTCCGGTCTTAAGGGGTTAATGCTGTGAGGCTTTTATATAACTGCTCAGCGTTGAAACTCATTTCATGAAGCTTCCAACACCCATTTCTTGTGCTGATGGTGCTCCCAGATGCAGTATAGCACTCTGTAATGGAAAAAAAAACAAATTTAAATTTTTTTTCATAATGTTGCAACATAAAAAAGTTAAATATTAAGGGGTCGGGGCGTGGCTTCGGACCGGATGAAAGCGGATGCATAAGCGGTGAGCTCCGCTATACCGTGGGTTTCACAGCATGGTATCCCAGCAAGCCAGCCACCGAAAACGGCCCTACCAGGCACAAACAACACCCTGAACAAGATGGCAACAAAAACATCCAAAAAAATGAAACAGAAAACGATCGAATCGCACCTGAATTTGCAGCAAGCAACCCCTATGCAAATCCAAGATGGCGCCAGAGACACCGGATCCCCCATACTGGAACCTGAGGTAGGAGACAGCCAAAGCAGCTTTCACAGCACAGACATGACTCCTGCCACAGATGCATCAATAAGCACAATGCTGGAAAGGCTTAAAGCAGCCCTGTGCTCTGATTTACAAAAAATGGCATCTGATATCAGAACTGACATCCAGGCATTGGGGGACAGGACAGCACACTTGGAAGAAAAAACAGAGGGACAACTAGAAGCGCACAATGACCTAGCAGAGGCGCATATAGCACTAGCACTGGTAAGGTCAGATACTTAGAGGGGAAGATTGCAGATAATGAGGACCGAAATAGAAGAAACAGCATCAGGATTCGTGGAATATCCGAAAATGTGGGTCCACAAGACCTCCCACAATTTGTACAGAAGCTGTTTAAATCTATGATCCCAACATTAACAGAAGCCGACCTCCGACTTGACAGAACGCACAGACTACCCAAGCCACGACATCTGGCTGCAACAACCCCCCAAGATGTTATCACTAGAATCCACTACTTCTCGGTCAAAGACCAAATAATGCAGGCCTCTAGGCTGAATACACCCCTTCCCGAAGGATATACAGACATTAAACTGTTCATAGACCTATCAGCGGCCACCATGTTTAAAAGAAGATC